CAGGAGATCTTTAGGACTGCAATGTTCGTGGGTCTCCAAAATGCCTCTGATGTTGCTGCTCCTGTTAACACACACTAGTTGGGCTGGACTAGTTAAGGACTATATCTTTTTAAAATCGACGGTCACATGTTTCACCCTGGGAGACGGGAGGATGGAGAATGTCACAGCCTCATGCCCTCATCTCTTTTGTTTTGTTTTTGTTTTTGGAGTAGACAAAAGTTTTTACTGCAGGGCCAAACAAGGAGAACAGTGGCTCATGCTCAAAAACCCTGAACTCTCTGATAGTCTTTGAGGTGAATTTTTTTTTATTAGGGTAAAGTTTTTAATAGGCAAAATGAGGATTGAGGGCTTCCAGGTGTGTGACTTTCTTCTGACTAGTTGGTGGTGGGTAATAGGGCCCTGTTCCAGGAATCTCGTGCTCAGCCTGAAGTTACCATCCTCCACCTGGGTGGGGGCCTTAGCTCCTGCAGAACAACTCAAACATATTAAGTATAGCCCTGCCCCTACTCCTCAGCTCATTTTTAAGTGAACCAAGCCCTGCTTTCAACACTGTGATCACGCTCACTATAAACACAGGTGACATCAACAAGCACCACCATCCTAACCGCAGAAAAAGTATTAAGGGTATTTACCTGGGGAAGAAACACTGAGGGAGGAGAAAGAAGCATGCTCAGCGTTGGCGCTTTCTTTTCCCAAGTCTCCGCCAGGAGAAGCTAGGCTTTACAGCCAGAGGATCTCAGCCCCAGGGAACAGCGTCCACGCCACTGAGCTGGACCTCGGGGACAGGGAAGGAGAGGGGTGCAGTCTAGGGGTGGCGGGGCAGGGAAAGCGGCGGGGAGCGCGGGCTGCAGCCCCGCTCGGAGGCCAGTCCAAGCCACTGTCCCCGCCCCCTCCCGGCTCCGCAGGTCCCGCCAGCCCGGGACGCAGCAGTCCCAGGGGCGGGGCGGGGTCTGCGGCCGAGGAGAGGGAGCCCGGGAGGAGGGGGCTCGCAGCGGGAGAGCGGAAGGGGGCGCCGGCCGCAGACTGAGGGGAGCCCGCCTGGGGCGAGAGGTGGCAGGTGCGGGCCGCGGTATGGACGGGGAAGGCCATGTCCACGGGAGGTGCATGCCCGGCCCTGGACAGGTGTGGCCTGGGCGCCAGGGCAGGTGGCGCAGGCAGAGGGCGCTGGCGCGAGACCCTCAACTGGATACTCGCTGACTCGAGCCCTCGCAGGCTGTGACACGCGGACCCCCTTCCCCAGAGCCCCCAACCTTCCACTTACACAGCCGGAGGTCCCGACCCGGGGCAGGAGCCAAAGGCCTACTGGGCGACAGAGCCGAGCAGCCACTGGGGCTGATCCCTGGCTCGAAGCTGGAGCTTCGGACCCGCGGTCCAGCTGGCATCCAACCGTGGGCATGCGCGGGAGGGCCAGCGATCCGCTCTGGGCTCTGGGTTCTGCGAGATACACTGAGGAATCGAGGGAGGGAGAAGATGGGAAGGGGAGAAGATGGGAAGGGGAGAAGATGGGAGGAGTAGGAGCAGAAGCAAAAAGTGGAGGGAGAGAGATGGACGTAGGAGGAGCAAGGAGAAGCGAGAGATCTGGAGGGAGAAGGGGGAGGGGAGTAGCAGACATGAAGAGAAAAAGCTTTACCTTTAAGGGCACACTGAAGGAGGCTCCAGTCCTGCCTCCATGCCCCTCTCTAGCCCCTCAAGGCCAGAAGCTCAAATTTCACCTCCCTGGTCATGCCCTGCAGCCAAGACCCTGCAGAACCCCTACAGGGATCACACCTGTTGCCCCCAAGAGAAGCTGGGCTTCCTGTTGCTCCCGGAACCAAACACCCACAGGCGTTGTCGCTTAGAACTACCTTGGGAAGAGTATAAATTCCCCTTTTACAAGCTGGGAAACGGAGGCAGGCATGATCTTTGCCTTAGCTGCATTGTCCCAGGTGTTGGGCTGGCAGGGAGCGGGAGGTACAAGTTCAGAGACCCAGACAGAGCAGACTGCCGGAGTGTCGGTGCATAGTCCCCATCTCTCCTGGGTAAACCACTTTCCACCCTAGTGGAACAATGAAGGGGTCACAGTACGTCCCTTGGTGTGGGAGAGCTGTCCTCAGTACCAGTGCCCAGCTTGCTATGTAGATAGGAGTGTTCTCGAGTCTAAACTCATTCTCCTCAATGCAGGACAGGCCAATAGATCAGGAGACCAGGTGTTGGGGCATGGAATAGCAAGTTTCTGTAGACCTAGATGGCAAACTAATGTCCTGGAAAACCATCTCCCCAAGTCAGAATTCAGGCTCCTTTCCTACTTGCTTTGTTGTTGCAAACTTCTTGGTGTAGGAATTTTTTGTTGTTAGAATTCTTTGTTCTTGCAGCTATCCACCTGGGTCAGATCCCTGTAAACCTCCAACAAAACAAATGTTATTTTCTATTCTGCAACTTGTTATCTTTATATGAATGGAAAAATGTTAATATCCTTAAAGGTCAGAGCCTTCAGAATAGGCTCTCCTGTCTATTTCAGGCTCTAGGCAACATTGTTTTACAGAAGGTGCAGAACCAGCAAGACTAAGCCTAGGAAACAGAGCACAGGGTTAAAGTCAAAGGAACAGATCTAATACAGAGTCTGATTTGTTCTTCGCTATTATAGAGGCAGAAGCCACTTGAGGATTTAAATCCTTTTAGGTTAAAAATAAGTAAAACTTCAAAGGAATTTACATACATATGTTGAAATGTGCATAAAATATTTGGAAAAGCTCACAAAAGATTGTAAACAGTGGCATCTCCAGGGAGGGCTGAGAGAACAAAGGATGAGAGAAACCCTTCCCTTGTGTATTTTTGTGCTGTTTGATTGGTTTTTTTTGTTTTTTTTTTGTTTTGTTTTGCCATATGCATGGGTTTCTTTTTCAGTTAAAAAAAGTGTAATGGAGGGAAGGAGTAACTAGCGCAGCAAGTACAGCAGCCATGGAAAACTGAGCCGTCACTTTCGCTTTAAGCCAGGAAGCATTTATTTACTCTCTCCTATGTGCCCAGTGCTGTTTTATGACTTCACTTATTATGTATATTTTTTATAAAATAATAACATGCTATCCCTGACCCCTGCCCAGGGGAGCTGGTGGAAAACCTATTGAGTTTTTATTGAGTTGTTTTCCAAGGAGTATAAATGAGTTATAAACAGAACACATCTTCAGGGCAAACCAGGTGGAATGGGTTTCCAGCAGGCCAGACAGCTAGGAAGGGTTTTCAACAGAGATGCCCAGAGGCTGAGAGAGAAAGCCTCCAGGGCCCCACAAAAAGCTGCCCAAAGTGGTTTCTCCATGGCACTATTGTAATAGGAAAGAAGAAATCTGACTCCATATTACATCTTTTTCTTTGACTTTAACCCTGTGCTCTGTTTCCGAGGCTTAGTCTTGTTGGTTCTGCACCTTTTATAAAGCAATGTTGCCTAGAGCCTGAAATATACAGGAGAACCTATTCGCAAGGCTTTGACCTTTAGGGATATTAACACTTTTCCATTCTTATAAAGATAACATGTTGCAGAACAGAAAATAACATTTGTTTTGTTGGAGGTTTACAGGGATTTGACCCAGGTGGACAGCTGCAACAACAAAGTATTCCTACACCAAGATGTTTGCAACAACCAAGCACACCCCCTTCCCCTTTTTAATATAAAAGGAGCCTGAATTGTGACTAGGAAAGATGGTTCTCCAGGACAATTACTCTGCCATCTCCTCAGTCAGATGGCTTTCCAATTAAAGACGCTTTTTCTTGCCACAAAACTTGGTCTTCCAATTTATCGGCCTGTCCTGCAGTGAGCAGAATGAGTTTGGACTCAGTAACATAACCAAACATTGAAAGTATTCATTTGGTATATTAAATGACTTGCTTCTGCTGGTCTTTATTTCTGACTTTTTCTTTCCTTGACTATTCCTGCTATGTTTATGAAAAATCTGTCAGTCTGCTCTTGTGGACACATTTACATCTCTAGCCACTACCCTTCCAGATAAGAACTGATGTCACCAAAATTGCTAAGAGATATTACATGGTTAGAAAAGACCAGAAGTGTGTACTGGCTGATGTTCAGGAGCAGGCTGGGACACCTGACAAGATGTCATAAGCATGGATAGACAGCTGGGCACCAAAGGAGAAGCTTCTAAGCCTCCATGAAGGACTTGCTGGATAAGAAGGAAAAGTCCCAGATTGTAGATCTGATTCCACCATGAGCTTCCTGGGTGAGGCTCGGCAAGTCATTTAAGTTCTCTAGGCCCGTGCTGTCCAACGTGTGAACCACCAGCCACATGCAGAATTATGAAGTTATTCTGTAGCCAGGCAGAATTATAAATAAACATTTTATAGCAAAGGCTCAACACGTATGATGTTTAGAAACATTAGTGGTTTTCTTGCCCTAACAGGTTATCTTTGTATGTCTTGCTTTCTGTTGTTTGCAACGCCCGTGACTAATGATTCCCTTATAGTGAGGTATTTTGAAGTTATAAGTTACTAGACACAGTACCGTCATATCACAGTTGAAAAAAAAAGATCCACATAAGCCAGGCCATTTGATTTAGTAGTTATGAGCATGGTCTCCGGGGACAGCCTGCCTAAGTATAAACTCTCACTCTGCCTCTGGGGGGTTCTGTGTGAATCTTGGAGAAATTATTATTATTGTTGTTGCTGTTGTTGTTGTTATTTTACTTATTTGTGCCTCTTTTTCCTGACCTTTTAATGGTGAGGAATATGTAGACTCTATCTCCTACTGTGCTGGCAGGATTAAGTGATTTAACGTCTGTGCTGCCCACTTCCCTGGGTTTCAGCATTCTCCAGGCAATCAGTGTCAAACTCAGAGGCATTCTTCACTGTCTTACTCAGTCTGGGATGCTGTAAAAAATTACCATGGGTCAGGTGGCTTAACCAACCAGCATATTCCTCAAGTTCTGGAGGCTGAGACATTCAAGATCAAGGTATCTGGGAGAGGACTGCCTTCATGGCTTGAAGATGGCTGTCTTCCCACTATCTTCATGGGGTGGAGAGCAGAGAGAAGCAAGCACTCTGGGGCCCCTTATAAGTGCCCTAATCCCATTCATGAGGGCTCTACCCTCTTGACCTCATTTTATCCTACTAATCACCTCCCAAAGTCCCTGCCTCCCAATACCATCACCCTGGGAGATGGGGTTTTGACATATGGATTTTGAGGGGATGGAAACCTTTAGTCCACACATTGGCTAACTCTCCCCAACATGCAGTCATCAAGCCTGTAGCTATTTTCAAAGTCATGTTTATATCTCTCTGCCCATTTCCATTCATACATCCACTAACACTGAAGCCCTGTTAGATTTTATTCCTTATTTTTCTGGTAGAGATTTAACTGATTCCTCTACTCCAATGCTCTCCTCACTCCAAACAGTCTGCTTAACAGCCCTGCCAGGTAGGTCTTCCTTAAAATACCTTCCCACTTCACCTGGTTGTTTGTTAGGTGTAAATGTCAGAATCCTCTCCACACCCCATCCTAGACCTTTAATCCCTTACACTACCGCTCACTATGTTATTTTCCTATTACCACTGTAACAAATTTCCATAAGCTTAATAGCTTAAACCAGCACAGATTTATCACCTTATGGCTGTGGAGG